TGCGGGGGACGGCTAGCACAATTCTTTCTGTGCTGACTGTAAGGGCTGGGGGTGGGCTAGGCTTCCACAGTGCAAACACCAAGGTTGCAGGATGTACATTCAGAATCTGAAAAATCGTATCATCTCACTGACAAAGTTGGGAGCCCGTGGGATGACTCCCTCACACACCCTCTGCATATCTGGACAGCCCCACCAAGCCATCCTCCGGTATCTGGAATCTCTGCTCCAACATGGGCAAAAGGAAAGTTAGCAGTGAATCTGCACTGCCTTACTATGTTATGTTCCAGGTTACAATCACACTGCTGCATTTTTCGAGTAACCTCTTTGCCCCCGAACAGCGATTACAGCAGTATAATTAATCAGCAACCTGCCAAAGCAGGAGAAGATGCCTGTGCCTTTATCACTTCTCATTATACGAGAGACTAATTATGTCTCAAGTTCAAATCTATGATTTCAAACTTAACCTTGATGCCATCCTGAAATATCCCTTTGTGCAGGAGGGAGTGTTAATTAAGAAGGGGGTTCTCCCACAATCTGTAAAAATGAATGGGGAAGAGGGGTGTTCGGGATAAAAGAAAGCAACGGAAACAGCGTTAAGTCCTTTGCACCTTATACTTGCAGGAAAATGTGTCGGAACCACATCTGCAGGGCTTGAACATCACTAGAAGCACATTGATGTCACAGTCTAAGAATACTGCCATGATATTTTTAGCACCGATAGTAAAAATTTGATATAAACACCTAGGTATTCATGATAAGGCCAACACATCTGCTTCCAGTGAGAGATGCACCCAGCTTGAAAAGTCTGGCCTCATTTTTTCTTGGCAAAGGCCTTTGGCGGCGGCAAGGGCTATTGCCTCTTTCCTCAGCCCCGCAGTTATTCAGCATTCGATGGAGAGATAGTTGCAGGCAGGGGGAGAGATAAAGGGAACAAAAAAGATAACGGCCCTTTTTTCTCTGTTTACTGCCTACTGCTGGCTCACCTCCTCGCTGCTGAGAAGTTATTGCAGCCCATTCCAAGACTGAGAAGATCACACGGGCTTCGGCCTGAACTCCAGCCAGTAAAATTTTATTGCTCCACTGGCCTTGAGTGGGAGCCATCCATAGATGAAAATCAAGGTGACACATAATCCCTAAAGGAAGAGATTCTGCTACCATCACTTGAAGGGGTTCCCTCACCCCACTTTGCCAAGAAGCCAGCAAAAGGGGAACTTCAGAAGCAGCAGTTCCATGACACTGATTTGCCGTGGCGCAGTGCCTAAACCTCCTCCAGTGAGGGTTGTGTGTGTGTGTGTGAGAGAGAGAGATCTTACAGGGACTGTCAGTGGTGGAAACACTCTGAGTGACACTTGATTGCCAACAAATGCCTTGCTTAAACAGGGCTCTGTGGGGTTGCTCCACTCTGCCTTTCTGCCCATTTTGTGGGATGATCATAGAGGCCCTTCTGCAACTGACCCCACCCTCAGAGGCTGGCAGTTGGAGGCAGGGCCTTCTTAGTCATGGCACCCCATATCTGGAATTTCCTCCCCAGCAAGGCTAATCTGGCTCCTACTGTCTTTGTTATCTGAATGTCCTTCTGATTTTCTCAGTTTTTAAATTTGTGATGATGCTCATAGTTGCCATAATGTTTTTATAATGTTTAAACTCAATAGACTTTACAATCTTTCCTTTATTTTTAATTGCATTTTAGCTGCTTTGGGAAGGTCCTTTTGAGTAGAAATACTTTAAGTAAACTAAAATATAAATTCCAACAGATCAGAACCTACGCACTTGAAAAATTGAACACACTCCTCTGCTTTACTTATTTGATTCAACAATAACCCTCACCATTTCTTTCTTTCTGTCTACCAGGCAAAACAATTGGGATAGTCTGAGCTTTGTTATGCAAAGCTTGTAACATCTTTTGAGTGAAATATAAAACTTTAAATGATGATTGTTAATCATGAAATTTCCAAGAGATCAGTTTCCCATGGTAACCAGAGAGATTTCTGAAAGCAAACCTTGTAGAAAATAAAATAAAACATAATAATCATTTTGTCATCAACAATTAGATTAAGAAGATATAAGGAAAGCAGCCAACCATATCAAGGAAGGCTGCGTGGCTGGTCCTGCAGTCTGGAAGACAGAGGGGGAATTGGTTTCTTTTGCCATCAGACCCTTGCCAAAACAGAGAGAAGGGATTGGAGGGAGAGAGGGGGTCCTCCTTGAAGCAGAATTCCTGCCTCTTCCTTTAGAATTCTCCCAGCAATTAATTTTTCATTGTGAATCAGCTATTAAATGATTATTTCTTCACATGCAGCTACTGCTATCACAGCTTGGCTGGATTCAAACAAAACAATTACCCACATTCGAGGCTTAAGTATGGAATGTGTGTGAGCTGCGGCTGAGCTGGGGGTTGCTGCTGAAGCTCGGGTTCTTGCACTGACTGAACCCAGCCAATTTTGGGCAGTGCTTTTGTTGCCTCTGCCTGCGAGCCAGAACTTGCATGGAAATGCATGCGATGGAGGTGCTTGGCCTCTGAGCTGCAGTGCTGGAGCTACACGTACCCACTGCCTTACCCAAAGCCCCCCCAAATTCCTGGACCTGGTGCCACCCATTGGGCAATTAATGTAGGTTAGGATCCAAAGACTGCTTCTGTTGACACAAGTTGTTACACCCCCTGCCTCTGTGCCGTGTGCAGGCACTTTTGGCACTGGTTATGCAGGGCCTTTGGGATGTAAGAGAAAGAGGCTCGGACATGTTATATGGGTGTAAGCAGCTCCGTGGAGCCTGACCTTCATTTGCTTCTCCACTGGCTTAGTGGTAGCATTTTGCTTGAGCCCATGCTTGTGTTTGGCCATCAGCGGTTGAAACAAGTCTAAAAAGCCCTTTTGAAGTCCTGGAATTAGTTCACCAGCCTTTGAACATCCCTGGCCGATTGGAATCAAAGATAACATTAAAATAGGATATCATGGATCTGACTTCAAAGGAAGTTGCACATCATAGGATGCGAATGGGGTGGCATACAAGCACTCCAAATAAAATAAAATAAAATAAAATAAAATAAAATAAAATAAAATAAATAAATATAGGATGCCGCCTTATATTGAGTCAGACCTTAAACTATGCCTGGAAGTCAAGGCTTCATAATATGGCATTATATTTCTGCTCTGGGTACCATTTTTACTCTGGATAAGAGACGACTAAGGGACTGATTATTTTGAGTAGACTCTTGAAAATACCTGCAATTAATTAAAAACTGAAGTGGTTTCTTCTTTTGAAAACAGAACATTATAGAGCCAGCTATGTGTCCAGATTGAGACTATCCTCTTTAAGAAAGCCTTTCCTGAGTTGTGATTTCAAGTTATACCAACCACACTTTTGGATGGGTGATACAAGGTGCCTCTTGAATGCAGAGCGTGTCTTTGTGGTTGATATCAAATTGAAGACTTCGCTCATTGCATGTCAATCTGTCCTCTATATACTAAGCCCAGCGAGAGATTCTTGACACCCTTGCTACTATATGGGCACAGGAATGCCTTGGCACTTATTTAAGTAATAACAGCAGTGACGTGACACATAAAGTTGCTCTGTTTGCTTTGGCAGCAAAAAAAGATCAGGAGAGGATTAGACAAAATTGCAGTAGACCGCTTTAGCAATTCAGAGTTAAATTAAGGATGAATTTCTGTTCATAGTATATTTTAATTTATTTATATAAATCTTGCTGAAATCCTTCATTTTGATGTATATGCACATTCCTTTGATGTATTTGTTGTGGCCTTCGGTAGTACAATAAACTTTTGGATTGATCGATTGCGCCAGGCCTTTGGTAGCAACTCTCTCAGTATCTTTCCTAACCACACTTAGAGAGGACAGGCTTGGGCTGAGCCCCAGCCTCTTGGAATGCTGTTCTTCACTTCTACTTGCCCCCAGAACTTCTGCTCCCTTGCACATGCCTTCTGGCTCCCTAAAGCTGAAATTCTTTCCCATAATACAAATTTGGTGCCAACATTACACTCTTCTTTCAAACTCTGCTGTGGGGTGTTGCACTCCTTTCAACCTGAAGGCCAAATATCATTTCAGAGAAGCTCTTGGTGGCCACAGTCCAATGGTGGGTGAGGCAGAAAGCAAAAGGGAGTGAAGTCGACATGCTAAAATTGCCAGCCTGTTTTGATTTCAAGCTCTTATAGCCCATAATTAAGGCTTAGGAGTGGCGTCTCGGCTTTTTAGAATGGGATGAAATGGCACCATAGTTAGAAACTACTAAATATTCATCAGTTGGAGCACAGGGGGCGGGGCTAGGGAAAGAGGGTGGCCAATGGCAGCTGAAGGAAAGAGTATGGGAAAAGGGAGCTTGGGTTGGCCTAAGAAACCTGTGTTTGGCCCATGGATCTGAGGTTCTACATACTGAGGTGCTCCCACCTGCACAACTTGCATATCTGTAAGTAAATGTGAATCTTAGCAAAGCCAATAAGCCTCCAGTGACCTCTTTGAAGCAAGAACCGAACAGTGGCAAGTGGGATCCCGGGGTGGGTGCAGGCTCCAAGTTCTTGAGGGCCTTTCGGCAAGCCATCTTCAAGTCTACCTGCTCACGGTCATGGTCACCAGCTGATGCTGCTTTCCTCTTCCTTGCCATTATTGCTACCACTTGTTTGATTATTTGATTACTGGGTGATAATGCAATATGCAGAGAGTCAGTGGGCCAGAAGGCTGTCGCATCAGCTGCCTCACCTTCTCGTCACTTGATCACTTGGGCCAAAGAGAGAGGAAGGCAAACACGCAAGTGGCATTGATGAAAAGAAACCACTCCAAGAGACTCTTGCCAGGGAGCTCCTGCTGGGCTGTGGGCTCTTAGCAGGTGCCCCGTCCTCTCTACCCTGGGCGCCAGCCCTGCCTGTCACAAAATTAATAAATTGGACAGGTTTGGCTTTTGTTTATGCAGAGAAGAATATGCCCATCCTTCTTGATCGGTGAGCAAGCAAGCCTCCCATTTATGTTCTTCATTTATCTCACTCCTTCAGATACACCAAGATGAAAACAGCCACCAATATCTACATCTTCAATCTGGCCCTGGCAGATGCCCTGGCCACCAGCACACTGCCCTTCCAGAGCGCCAAGTACCTGATGGAGACCTGGCCCTTCGGGGAACTGCTCTGCAAGGTGGTCCTTTCCATTGACTACTACAACATGTTCACCAGCATCTTTACCCTCACCATGATGAGTGTGGACCGGTACATAGCTGTCTGCCATCCGGTGAAGGCCCTGGATTTCCGAACCCCTGCCAAAGCAAAGCTGATTAACGTGTGCATCTGGGTGCTCTCCTCTGTTATTGGGGTCCCCATCATGATCATGGCTGTAACCAAATCACAAGGTAAGTGCCATGGCTGGATTCTATTCCATCTAATTCCAAGAAGACTGGAAGATATCGGGGTACCATTTTTCTGCTCTGCAACCAGGCTCAGAGATGCCCTTAGAGATAAGTGATTTACCCGGCATATAAATCTAGACACTTTGGGCTATGATGCTGCTCTGGAAATGCACTCAACAAAACATGAATGCAAGGCACAACTTTCTGTGTATGCAGCTTCCTCCACAGAAGAGAGCAGTTTTCCCTTTCAGCAAAAGACATATTTTCACAACACTGACTGAACAACTCCGCACAACAAGCCCACCTTTCCTCCCCTCCTCCAAGCAGAGTTGGGCTTGACTTCTGTCAGTCAAGGAGGCATGGTTTTGAGGGTTGGAATGTGTTTATAATGGGCAGAAATGTTGAGCTGTGCAGAAAAAGCTACTCAAGGAAGGCTTTTTCAAAATCGCCCTCTTTTCAATGGAACTTTATCCCTATTTTAGGGTAAGGAGTGTGCACCAAGGTAGGGTTAGGGTTAGAAAAACCAGGTGTCCTGACATGATTTTCAGGATTGGAATGTGTTTAGAATGGGCAGAAATGATGAGCTACACAGAAAACGCTACTCAAGGAAGGCTTTTTCAAAATCGCCCTCTTCTCAATGGAACTTTAGCCCTGTATTAGGGTTAGGGGTATGCGCCAGGGTAGGGTTAGGGTTAGAAAAAGGAGGTGTCCTGGCATGATATCGATGGTTGGAATGTGTTTAGAATGGGCAGAAATGATGAGCTGCGCAGAAAAAGCTACTCAAGGAAGGCTTTTTCAAAATGGCCCCTTTCAATGGTATTTAGCCTGTATTTTTGAACAGGCTAGGGTTAGGGGTTAGGGTTTTGAACAGGTTAGGGTTAGGGGAGTGCACCAGGGTAGGGTTAGGCCAGTGGTGGTGAAGCCATGGCACATGTGCTGCAGTGGGCATGTAGAGCCCTCCCTGTCGCATGCGAGCCACGTTGCCCCAGCGTCGCTCCAGCAGCCGAGCATCGGATAACAGCACATGCTCAGAAAGGTGTAGCGGTCCCAGGCCATCATGTCATGGGCCGCAACTCTTTAGCTGCTACTCATCTGAGCTTTTGCATAGACGTCAATGTACTGCCAAGGATATATATTTATATTTACACACACACACACACACACACACTTGCTTGGACTGGCTATGAGTTGTTTTTTCTAAACCAAAACCTCAGTTTTCAGGTTTTATTGCAGTGTTGGCACTTTGCGATGAATAAGTGGGTTTTGGGTTGCAGGTTGGGCACTTGGTCCCTAAAAGGTTCACCATCACTGGTCTATAGTAAGGTAAGCAACCTGATGCTTACCAGATGTAGACTACATCCCCCATCATTCTCAGTCTGCATGGCCAATCATGAGAGATGTAGTCCGTCAATTCTGCCCTCCAGTTGGTCCACTCTGGGAGGCAGGAGCTCTTCAAGGATTGGGACAGGAATCTTTCATACCTAAAGAAGTTGTGGGTCAAATCTGGGACCTTCCACATGCACAGCAGCTGCTTTCCCATTGAGCAGTGTCCTTTTAGCAAAAATAAAATAAAATAAAATAAAATAAAATAAAGCCTTTCCTTCAGCCACTGAGCTATGCCTCTTCTCTCTCCCCTCCCCCCGTCCACTCTCTCCATCTTGCCACTCCAAATCTCCAATTCTCTTCCACTCCCTTTCATCCAGGCGGCATCGTGATGTGCCTTCTCCAGTTTCCTGAACCTCAGATTTACTGGGACACCATCACCAAGATCTGTGTGTTCATCTTTGCTTTCCTGGTCCCCATCTTGGTCATTACCATTTGCTATGGGCTCATGATTCTCCGCCTGAAGAGTGTCCGCCTGCTCTCGGGTTCCAAGGAGAAGGACCGCAACCTGCGCCGCATCACCCGCATGGTGCTGGTCGTGGTGGCCGCCTTCATCATCTGCTGGACACCCATCCAGATCTTCGTCATTGTTTGGACCCTGGTGGGCATTGACAAGAGGAACCCCTACGTCATGGCCAGCCTGCACTTCTGCATTGCCCTCGGTTACACCAACAGCAGCCTCAACCCAGTCCTCTACGCTTTCTTGGATGAAAACTTCAAGCGGTGTTTCCGAGAGTTCTGCCTCCCCTTTCGGTCACGCATGGAGCAGAGCAGCTTCAGCCGGGCCCGGAACACGACACGGGAGCGCGTCTCCACCTGCACTCCTTCAGAGGTCCTCAATAAGTCGGCATGACTAGATATGGACAGCCATAAAAGGGGCTCCCGTGGACGCAGAGGGGATGAACTGCATTCGGAAGTGACTCAGGTCACCACCACTGCATTTTAGCCAAAACTGTAGAAGAAACTACTCGGGCAAAAGGCCTGATCATGAACATTTCAGACATTTCCGAACTGTGAATACATGGGTTGCTTTGTTTTGTTTTTCCTCCCATTTACTCATACCATGTAACAGATTATGCACAAGAGTGGCATCAGCTATAAACTGATATTTAGGTGTGCATTTCTAAGCCAAACCTTTCTCTATTGATCTGAATTCTCAAAACTGGCATCCATGTCTGTCTGTCTGTCTGTCTGTCTCTCTCTCTCTCTCTCTCTCTCTTGAATCTCAAGTATTGTTGGCTTTTGACCATTCTGAAAAATTTGCAGCACTTAATTTGTGTTCAGTTGTTGTTGCTTAAGCATCAGTGGTAACTCTGCTGCTTCTCCTATTCATTATTTGTAAAGTATTTTGATGAGCCTATATTGGAATTACCTTTAGTAGATGATGTGAGTTGATGGAAGTACCCCCAAGTAACTAAGTACTATAGATCCATAAAAACATGGACTGATTTTTGTTGGTATGTTTTTCCTGTTTTAGTTTTAAGCAAACTTTCCAATGATTACAAAGCGGAAGAAAAATATTGGAACTCCGTTTTCCAAATACCAATGCATTTCAACTGTATGGCAAAACAAACAAGCGCAAACGGCAATCCTGTAAGAGGAGTCTCCCACCACCGCGCCATGGGCTGGAATCCTGTGGCTTCCCCCGCCGTGGCCACATCTGCACCTAATCTTTTGCCTCTATGGAGTAAAGAAAGGTCAAAAATTACTTGCCTCTGTAATCCAAATTGCCTTTATTTTAGCTCTGGAAAGAGGACCGGGCACCTTACAAACTCTAGATGGGCAGCTGGAAACTGAAAGTCTGATGGGAGCGGGGGGGGGGGGACCTATTCTCCATTAGTTTTTTTTCCCCCTCTTGACCAGCAGAAAGTGGCACAGTGTCCTGATTCCTGCCAAAACAACGGAGGTACCAGACTCTGTGACTTCAAATCAGGAGGCTCCTGTAGCTCGAAAGCCTCCCTAGGTCGGGAGAAGGCCTGTTGGTGTTTTCCTTGCCACTCTGGCACTGTTTTCCCCAGGAACCCAGCTCCATCTGCTCAGGAACGCCAGCAGAGAGCAGGGCAACACCCGGCTCTGGAGCTGCCCCTCAGTGTACAGCGGGGCCTCCCCACGAAGCCCCAGCGTGATCCAGATGGGAGCGGCTGGGTGGACAGGATGGCCCCTTGGCAACTGGGGCCCAGGAACTGGGTGCTGTTGTGCTCATGCCCTCCCTGTGGACTTCCTGCCGGTATCTGGTAGGCCACCGCTGGAACAGTGCTAGATCAATGCTGGTCTGATCCAGCAACGCTGTTCTTACATTACTTTGGTGTACCCCGTGTTCAACCCCTATTGTACTGCTATTAATAATAGCCTTGCCCCGTTGAAAATGCAGGGAAGACAGCCCCTCTCTTTCCCCATGCATTATATGATCCATTTAGGGGGCATTGTCTAGACTAGAGGAGCCAGTGTCAAAACACTGGTCAAACCAAGGAGCATTTGTATATCTGTGTGACCGAGCCGGCTCAGTAAAAAGGGGTCAACAACTAGCGAAGTCTTGTCTCTTTATTTTGATTTCAAACCTTTTCCGCCTCCCCACAGCGCTCAAGATAGCATCCTGGGAACTTTGGGCAAAGCTTAGCCAACATTGTTTGCAGAGGGGGGGGGGCAGTTTTGGCAAAGGCTGGAAAAAAGCTCCTGTTTCTGGAAGGTTTCTGTTTGGTACTCCTCATAAGCTTGTCCATGGACATGATCCTCATCCACAGTTTTCCTCAGTTGCCTTCTGTGATGTCCTCGTGGCCATCAGGTTGAATAGTAAGCTTACACAGACTGATCGGGGAAATAACAGCACACCAAAAAAGCCAAATCTGTTTTTCAGAAAGAAAGACAAATAGTCTGTCCCACTGCAAAATTGCTAATTGAACTTGACTGTTGAATGCAGCTCTTTGCTCATAAAACCAAGCATTTTGATATTTATCCTTGTCTGCCACAGGTCAGTCTAATGCCACGGAGAATTAAAATCTGCCTGGAAAACACAGCTGTGGAGTGTGCCGCTATCCCTCCCCAGATCTGATGATTTCCTTCTAGTTCGATCCAGTCCTCATGATGCAGACGGGGTTAATCTTCAAGCTCAGGGGACGCCCAGGTTTTATAAAGTTCTTCACTCATGAGGACTGGTGGGACCCCCAGTGTCCCTGCTGCATGACCTTCTCCACACCCCTTGCTGACGTTAGCCAGCCTAGCTTCATTTCCACATCCTGCCTGGTTTGGACAAGGAGACCTTGGGCAGCACACCCTTAGCTCCTGGGCTCTGCTCAGTCAACTCCCACATCCAGCTGGGGGGGTCCTGGATTGACACCCCCCCCCCGCCAGTCTGCCACTCATCCTGCAACAGGTTGACTGGCTCGCTCTGTCCTTACATTCCTATTTGCCTTGTTTGCTCTTTCATGATCACATTTACGCCCTGCCTGTCTTCCTCAGAGGGAGTCAAGGGGGCTTACCCAGGCCTCTTCTTCCTCCTCTCCATTTTATCCTCACAACAGTGCTGAAAGGTATGTTAGGCTGAGAGTCAGTAAGTGATCCAAAGCCCCTCAGAGAATTTTATGACCAGCCAGCAACTGAAATTCTGGTCTCTTGAGTCTCAGGCCAACTCTCTAACTACTAGACTACACTGCCTTTGCCAACTGAACCTGCCATCATGTATCTTTATATCTCCCAAGGAAAAGCCTAAGATACTAGTTCTTCACTTGCATGGTATATTTGCTAATCCAGAGCTAGGTGCTGTCTGAGTCAAGTTTGTTGCAGGTTGCAGCAAATTTGCATTTTACAAAGGTCTACCTGTATATCCCCTCCGCTCTGGTTTCTGTCACCACAAATATAGCCCTTACTCAGCTAGATCCATGCAGTGTCCCCATTCTCGGAAGACCGGACCTCTTCCAGTGCCCCATCAATAGTCCAAAATTACTGTGACAGCTCACACCAAATTTTGTAAATTTTGAAGTCTTCCAGGAGTGAGCTTAGAAGGATCCAGGAAAGAAGCAGCCTCTTCAAAGCTCAGCCAAGCAAGCTAAAAACAGCTGATTTCTGGAAAAAAACAACAACACCTAGATGGGTTTTAGGAAGGCTTCATTCCAGTGTTATAACCTTTCTAAGGATCAATCTGCTAGCGTATGCAGATTCACTGTTACTATTATTATTATTAATTGTTGTATCTTTTAACATTCAGACTTATTCAGAAATGGGACAAAAGGGCATATGAATGAATGGATGTGAGATGGACTGGAAACATCTATTCATAGTTCATCCACGCAGACCCCAGCAGCTGGACTTCCATTTCCTGGATGCTAAGAATGTGCTCCTTATTCCTTTCTCCCCAAAAACATGGATTTTTCCCCCTACTGAAAAGCAGAGAAAGAAGGCCCAAGACAAGCAGCAAGAGATATTGGCAACAATACCACCATAGGCTCTCAGGATAAAGTGTTTGCCTTTCTCTAACTTCAGTCAATGTTTCCTAGGGAAAATGAGTCATTCTACACTTTGATACACAGGTAACCAATAGTAGAAAAAGGACTTCAGAGGGCTGAAATTCACCATTAGGGTTGCCATGGGAATACCACCGAAAACAGCTTGCTGGTAGCAAACGACGCTTGTATCACTGAAAGATCTGAGTGCCCCGTTGTGTTGTGTGTCTTCACCCACCCGTTACACAATCCCAGTATGCCCAGAGAGCTGGGGGGACGCATGGAGAATCTCTTGGTGAAGAGGAGCCCTGTGGCAACTCCTTGGAAACACCCCCACCAGAAAGGGGCTCAGTTGCTCAAGGAAAGCCAATGTAGATACCCTTCTCTAATGTGCTTCAGAGTAGCAAGAAGAGGGCACCAGTGAGACAGAAAATGCCCTGCAATTATTACTTGTTTCCAGCCATTTCTCGCCATTATTGTCCGCTTGCTTTTTTCGGTTCTCCAGGCAGCTGTCAACAAATGAACTATAAAAATGTCATCAAATTTAACACCAAACGGTAACCCTGCAGAAAGAAAAACAGGAAAACCTGATTTAAACCACCACAAATGTGCTAAGTCCACGGCCAGTTACTGCCCAGCTCAAGGCAAGCCAAAATAGCCAGGTTTTTTTCACCTGGTTTCAGAAGGAAAGGTGTGTGAGATATTGACCCACAAGAGCCATCCTGCTTTTGTGGGCCAAGGAATTACACAAAATGGACACTGTCCATGCACACACACACGCACACACACCCAACCGGACTTTAGCGCAGGCTTCAAAAACTCTGCTGAAGATCTAGGTGTGCAAGTGAGTCGTGTGCTCACATGCGGGCCCTTGTACACGGGTGCCCATGAATTACACAAGCCCTAGGTGTGGCTGTTTCCTGCCAGGTGGGGATGCCAGGTAGACTCCTGCACGGTAACAGCTGTGTAGCAACCAGCACTCAACAGGTGAAGCATTTCCCCAGTAAATTTCCACCTGTTGTGCCGACAGGAAAGGTTGAAAGTGGTCCGGCACAGATAACTTTGGAATCCTTCTGAAGGTGTGTTTGTCCTTGGCAACATTAGCAATTGACAGTGCTTGTTGGTGGGTTAAAAGGGAAAAGTTATGAAGGTCCCTGTTCAAATGCAAAGCAAGTTTGATATGACTCTGTGAGTTGGTTCGACTTTAATACCCTGGCAGTTTAAGACTGGCAAAAATTAATTAGTAATTTAAATGCAAATGGACACTCTGAAAAAATAACAGAATAGTCTGCATTAGCTTGCAGCTTTCACTCTCAGTTTAATAAGACTTTGGAATTTAAGTATTTATTACTTCTGCCATTTCAGTTTATCCAAACTTTCTCCTCCCTCTACCCCTAGCTTAAATAATGCAAGCTAT